CCCTTCTATTCAATCTCGAGAGGTCCTTGATTGTCTAGAATCCATCCAATTTATCCATAACCTAATCAAGATAGATCCTTCCGCTACCTGTACAAGTCGTTTCTTCTCGAGCGGTCCTTGGAGAATCGAGTTCGCATCATCTGGTATCAGAGCTTTGGCTCTTGATTCAGGTTAATATCCTTTTTCTTTTCTTATTTTTCCTATTTGTTTTTCTACCAAAACCCTAGCCACCTTTTTATTTTAAAACAAATTTATTCTTGTTTTCTAGATTTTATCAGTTGAGTCTAACCTACCCCGTTGATTGATCGAGATTGGAATTTTTTGGTGTGATTACGTTCTTAAAAACAGGTTTTTCAAGGGTTTAACTCCCAATTAAATTTCTTTCAAGTGAAGTCGTAACCTTGTGTTGAGTCAAAAAAAAAAAAAATTCAGGGACTTTTCACCGGGGGGGTATTGTAGCGTACTGCTCATCGCTACTGTTCATCGAGTTACTATTCATTCAAATTTTAAAAAAAAAATTTAGATTGTATTTTTTTTGTGTTTGTTTTTTCGTTTTTTGTATCCACTCGTGGTTAAGTGGTAGAAGAGTCCTTAGGGTTTCCAATTCCTAGTTTATTTAGGATTAGTAAGTTCGTGACTTTTCTTTTCCTATTATGCACAACTTTTCTTTGCTGTCCAATTCCTAGCATCTTTGGGAGTCCATCAAAACTATTATTTCCAATCCTTAATTGTGTGGGAAAAAAAGGAAAATTTCCAGTTTATTTCCATTACCAATTCCATCCCCTTTCACAATATGAAAAGTCCTCCATTATTGCTACACTTGTGTATTTCTTTTGGTCAAATCTCGATTCGAGGACGAATCGCTTTCAAGAGGAGGGGAATGATACGAGTAGTGAGACCATCACTAGCTCGTGCCAAGATGCTTGAGGGCCTTTTCAATTCAATCCATGATGTTACATGAAGTCATGAAGAGAATGGAGTGCTAGCTATTTGATCTTCATGTTTTTAGTTTCTTTTATTTTGTTTGATTTTTCTTGTTTAGTTGGTTAGGTAGTTATTATTATGAATAAATATGGCCAGCTATGTGAGCTATTTGAGCCATTTAAAAGTAGTTAGGAAATTAAGTGACTAAATCCTTATCCAAATTAGATTAGTCTTAGTGGTTTAATTTTTAGCTATAAATAGGCCTTTTCTATTCCATTGTAAGACAATTATGAGATGAATAAAATTTGAGAGTTTTCTCTTTCTTGTTCCTTTGGAAACGTTCCTTGATACAAAGTGAGTCATGTCTCCTTTGTTCAAGTTTTGGCTTATCAATTCAAGACCACGTTGAATTGTTGCGCCATTCTACCAACAAATCTTTGTTTGCTAATTCGTTAGGTTGTGGGTTGAGATTAAATTCAAGGTTCACACTTTGGGGGTTAGAGGGGTCGAGATTTTTCCATCTTTTGTATCCATAACCTGATCAAGATAGATCCTTCCGCTGCCTATGCAATTCGTTTCTTCTCGAGCGGTCCTTGGAGAATCAAGTTCGCATCACATGACTTTCTTGGAACCTCATGGGGTAAAAACTCACCTTTCTAGTTTTGTTTTCCTTACAGGGAGCGAACGCTTGGGCGAATGACTAGGAAAGGTCGACTTCGGTCGGAATCTTTTGTTTTAGCACAGTTGTACCAACTTTTAGTTTGTTTTTTGGTAAGTTGGGAACTCGACTGTTGTAAATGGATCTCGTAGTGTATTTTAAAGATTATAGTATCCATAATCTTATGTTTAGGCCAAGGATTGTTTTTTTATTTGTCACTGGTGATATGACTCTTGTTTTAAAAAGGTTTGTTAATAAGTTAGTACTCGAGTCCTGACGAGAGTTGGGCAGACAACCCACTAACCTCTTTGGTTTGCCTTAGAGGAAGGTGGGGTCGTCACAATTTATTTTGTTGGTGTGAATTTTCTAGTACTACATTGGATTGGAAGTTTGTTTATGAATGGATGAAAGGCCTGAAACAAATTGATTTTGGAGTCTAGAGCTTATGAAACTGTATAGTAGCAAACTAGCAATTGCAGAATGCAGACTACTTTTGGAAAAATTTTATCGAGTCGAGTGCCTTCTAGTCCTCAAACTCGGTTGGGTGAGCTCAATCAAATCAAGTTTGCGAATTATTACTCAATCAAGCTCAAGTATCCTACCCACACTTAGAGTTCGAATTAGAGTTCGAACTTGAGTATATCGCTACTTGAACTTGACTCGGTTCGAGTATAGTGCTACTCAATCTCGACTCGATTCGAATTCTCCCCTACTTTAAACTAATCTAGAACATGGACAAAAACATCTGAATTACTTGATAAAAGTTGAAGTGTTGGTGTTACCCTCATTTTTATTCCTTATTTATTTTTTTCTCTTTTTTGAAAAGTAAACATTCTATTGGGTTTATCATGAGTCTACTGGATTAAAATAAGATTTCCTGGTGGTAGAATTTGGGAAATTTACATCCCACACGTGGGTAAATCACAATTTCCATGTTTGATTTAGTAAACAAATACTCGCAATTTTGTACAAAGGGAAAGAAAAGGAGGGCACCCACTCCATCACTAACCTCTGATTATCCTCTAAAAATTTCTTCAAAACTTGGACATTTGTCTCAAATCACTATAGTTCTAAATTTCACACAAAATTATTATTTCACGATTAATTGGGGTCCATGATTTCGTCATTCTCCTTAAGCTTCCAAAGATAGTGTCGGGTCTTCTTTGTTGATCGCGAGTGCGAAGCTTTGATCGGAATATCAATATTCTTTGGGCTGTGGTTTCTCCATCTTCCAAAAGCAACAATTCTTATCAATTATTTATCAGCGGGAAGCAGAATTCTTGATTATATTGAGTTCGATTTTGGGTTTTGCATGATGATGGAGACGATGAGGTGAGCAGGATGACGAAGGGAGCAGTTAATCTTCTATCTTTTTGGATCTAGTCTAAGAGAAGAAGATTTTTTTTTTTTGGGGTTTGATTTTGGATTTTGGCTGATGATGATGGAGACGAAAATCTTTCTTCTTCCTTTTTGTTCTCCATTAAAACTGGATTAAAAAGCTTTCACCATCCGAGCAAGCATAGGCGGAGAGCGATAGCGCCATAGTGGTCATGATGATAAAGAAACAGCAGTCAAGGCTTTCAATATCTACATATCAGTCGTCTATTGTCGTTCATGGGAGAACGAAAAAAGGAGAAAAAATGAAAAAGAAAAAGGAAAGGCAAAATCAAGAAAAAATGACAATACATAAAATCAAGGAGTAAAAATGGAAAAGACAAGAGAAAAAAAAAAGGAAAAGGAAAAGGAATAAAGCAAAACACAAAAGAAAACAGAATATGTAGTTACCAAATTAACCTTTACAAGATTATTTAGTATACGAAGGTTCCTAGTATCTCTATAACATGGATAGAAACGATCCATGTTCTAATTTAGTTGAAAGTATAAGGTTATTTTGTGAAAGTTATTAAAGAATAAGGACCTCTGTACATAGTTATTAAACCCGATCCGATCCGACCCGACGGTTCAACCGGTCAATTCGATGAACCGGCCATGAAATCGGGCTAGGTTTGTAATTAGATCGTTTGTGCAAGGAATCCGTTGACTTTTCAACGGACCGGCGGTTCAACCGGACGATTTTGTAAGAAACCCGGTTTTGGAATAAAAATGATGAGAAGATGCTTCAATGCTGATTCGAACCTCAAGCATAAAACCTAAGCACACTCATCGCTAGCCCAATAGCTCACTTGGTGCTTATTCTCTCCTTATATATTATATATTAGATTTTTATTCTTATTTTATTTCTTCAAAACAAAATTTGTTTGGAATCTTTTAATAAAATTTTATTATTCCCTAAATTCTATAAATTATGAAATGGATTTAAAAAATAACATATTACACAATTCATTTTAAAAACAAATATTATTCTTAATAACCTTTTGCACTTAAAATTCATAAATAAAGTAGATAATTACACTTAGATAAATTTTTATACTTGAAGTTTGGTGGATTACTAATTAAATTTAGGTTTTGTTAATTCTTATAAAAATTAATGATTCTATAATAAATTGGACTAATTGAGTATTTACTATAACATAGTTTATTATAATTTTAACCATATCAAAAATTATAAAACATAATATTTAAATATATGTAGTGACCCATCGATTGGACCAGTCACCACCGGTTGAACCAGTAACCCGTTGACCCACCTCTTTCACCGGATTCCTCACCGGGTCGGATTTAATAACTATGCCTCTGTATCTTTCGGCAATACCCCAGAGGGGCTCCATGCACTTTAACCCTATAATTTACTACGTTTTTGCCATCAAGACCTATCACCGGCTGGCTCAATTTACCTGACTACGTTATACGAATGAGCTTCCTGCTTCATTTAAAAGTATGCTTGAGGGATACATGTAATTCAAGAAACCTTTTTTTCTTTTTCTGGCATAAAAGAAGATTAAAAGTGATTAAGAAAATACTCTCCTGGTCCCAGAAAATGCTACTGTCAATTTACCAGTCCCCTAGGTCTTTCTCAAAGAAAATACTCTGGAGTATAAGATGCCACTAGCACGTGTAAGATCTGATTGACAACATTTCACGTTAACAGAATTTCTATCATCATTTCTTCAAGGACTCCACATGACTAAATAAAAGACAGGAAGATACATTTTACAGTGCTAGAAGTACACTGATCATACAGATTTCGGTAACTTAAATGCCAGTCTACAAAGATAGTCTGCAAATATTACATGTCCAAGCATTTTAAGGCACAACACACCAACAGGATACAAACACAACATATAAACCTCAAAGAGCCATTGTAGCCTGTTGTATCTAATAGTTATCCTACGAGCAGTTTGTGTCGTAACTTGCGAGCCCTTGCAGTTCTGGACCTTCAAGACGAGGATTGTTCTCAAAGCTGCAATGTTTGGGCAAATAATGGCACCCTATCAGGTCAGCCAGAAACAGGAAAAGAAACGGCAGCAAAGAATTCTTTTATTTATTTATTTTTTCATTAAGCATCAAAGGAGCATGAAGAGAAGAAGTGAACAACCCCAGTGAAGCACTATGTAAAGTACCATCTTACAAGACCTGAAGGGCAGAAGCAGCCATTGGGATCATTTACTGATTGCCATGCAGGGAATTGCAGTAAATAACTCTAAAGTTTCCTTTTATACTTAATTTATTCAAGTCATTTCACTCCCTTACCATGGTGCAACATTACCTATTGATAAATCCCTAACTTTGGGTCTTTTTTAATTCAATTGTACTCCCGTACCAAGGTAAAATTTTTCTCTGTTCTGATATTAGGGACATTTCCCAGGAGCGAGGCATTTTATGCATTGTAAGGCATCATTATCAATTGAGGTTTAAGTTCCACTTTTCCTGTTACAAGTACAACAGTCATCTGATGTTTGTGTTTTGAGTGAAGAACAAGCTTCTTGGGTCCCATTGCAACTCAACTGCATTTCTTCAGCCGTTAGAGATACGCTAAAGCATTGGTCCTATAAAGAGGATGTCGTCTTACACATGCCTCTACCGTCTCCAAATGGGTTTATATTGTTGATCCCACCAAAATCTGTTGTACATTTTGAACCTCTGCTCCGAGGGTAAGGATGGAATGTTGGAAAGAAAGCTCGGATGGTGCTGGGAAGGAAAAATTGTAAGGTGACTATTAATTAGACAATGACAAAGTGAAATATCACATCACAATGGGACGGGGGCAAGTAAGAGAGAAGACATCTTAGAGGCTACTCTGATGTAACTGTTGTACCCACCAGGGAAGGGCAAAGCACGTTCCCCACTTGACTGAACCCAAGGAGCAGTGGAACTCAGAACAACCCACAATGCATATAATATCATACTGATATGTTCATTTACTCTGTATGATAATTCCATCCCTAATGCTTATCTCTCCAACGAAAATAGCATGCCAAACTGGTGGTGGTTGAAAATAGCAAAGAAAACCAAAAACAGGATATTGTGCTAAACTTTTTCTATTATCTATTTGTTGGATCAATAGCAACATGTCAAACTGAAAGGGGAACAGAAACACCACAGAGGGCTGAGCATATCAGACAAATGGACGTACTTGTTTAATGGTATGTGCTCAAATGGACCACTGGTAGGAATTGTGCCGCACAAATCATTATTTGAGACATCCCTGATAGAAGAAACACGATTCGTAATTTGGCACCCATGAATATGAATTAATGACTCAAAATAAACAACACTTACACAACTTTCAGGGAAGAAATTCCAGCAAGTGACCTTGGAATTGGCCCGGTTAAGTGGTTATCATTCAGGCGCCTGCCAAAGAAAGCAATTGACTAGTGACTTCCAAGCACAACTCCATTCTTCCTGCGAGGTTCTATTTCAATTTTATCATTCTAAAATCTTCTTATCTTCTATGTTCTTGAAACAGAAATTCTTATTAGGATCTGGAAAAACAATATCTCTACAGTATGCCAGATTCTGAAGGATGAGCTACTGACACAAATTTGAATAAACACATTGTCCAAATAAAATAAATAATGACCAACAAACACACAAACAAAAAAAATGCATGCATACATACGTGTATAGAAACATGCAAATGTAGACATATATGTAGATACTTTAGTCAGATGCAAAATACACATATACACCCTCATATAAATCTTTACTTCCTTTGAAACTTAGATAAGATTAACAAAACTCTAACAATGTAGAACTTACAAGAATACAAGAGACTTCAACTTTCCCAATGAATGAGGAACGACACCTGTGAGATTATTGTTGTATAAGTCCAAACTAATTAGGCTCCTCAAGTTACCAAGCTCAACAGGGATTGACCCTTGGATATTATTTTTGTAAAGCTCTCTGCCAAAGCAAATGAGAAACTTCAGAATTACTACATTGAATATAGAGAGAGACAGAGATACTAAGAGAACTCTCAAGATGACATTAGGCACTCTATCAGTGAATTGTCAACTTGGTATGAGTAGGAACTAGCCAATTGAATGCTCAATTAAATAGAAGATACTAACAGAAAGGCCATGATATGCTTACAGATACTGCAGATGTTCAAGCTTCCCCAAATCAGGCACTAGATGGCCAGACAAATTTGAGTTGCCGAGGTCCCTGCAGAAAACATAAGCAATAAGTTGCTTCAAACTCAAAATTCCAGAAAGGACAAAGAAAACCATTCCTTACTATTGAACATTGCAAAGTTGAAGCACTAATTCACAGAAGCCATATAGAAAAAAAGAGGCAGCATAGTCAAACATAGAACATCTGAATTACATATCTACTTCATTTGGCTATTTCACTAAATAAATAAATAAAGGAAAGAAGAACAAACAGAATACTGCAATTTGATTGCCAGATATAAATAATATTGTTCTTTTATGTATCCATATCAATTAAGAATGGATAAGATATTATAGTTAGTAAGATTCTAAGAATTTGTTATATAAGCCTGCTAGCTCTGAGGTTACAACATCGCATATGCCACCAGTTCAACCAAGAGCTGGCTGTTCCAATTTATTCAATTTTTTACATAATTGAATATGTCCTTATGAAATCAAAGAGTATTAAAATGGTGTGATCCCCCTTCCAAACCAGAAAGAGACAATTAAATTACATTCAGAAACAGTATCTCAAACAAAAGGATAGCCATTTCTCGGACGGATATAAGATGAAAATCATTCTCTTTGAATTGGAAAAAAATATATAAACCCAACATAAGCGTGCATGTGAGGGGGAAATAACATGACATGGATATGTACATGTCGCAAAACCTCTTTACCCATCTCCTTTAAACAACTTTTCCCTACTTCTTGTGATTTGGTGACCATGTGTGGACGTATACATAGATATATAAATTGGCATCTTTTAAAACACATGCAAAGTCAAGATTGTTTTACCTTCCACCTATCTTACAAGAAGATTTAACCAAAAACCACAAAAAAGAATTCATAACATGGAAGAAAATCCTTCTTACAGTTCATGCAATCAGTATACAATCTTATTGACTTACATTTCCTTTCAATCAACACACACACACACACACGCTAATAGACCTACAGGAACACACACATACACACAAAATTGTGCAAGTCAGTACTAAAGAAATTTTTAGAATGTAAAGGTACCAAGCAATCCAAAAGCTCTCAGCCAAAAATACGATGTTCACAGCAGCAAAAGGAAACTGAAGATAAGTCAACACTCAATGAAGAAAAACTTCAAAAATAATGGACCCCAGGTTGGCATATAATATTGAAAAATATAACCGAGTGATTGGGAACAAATGAAGACCATCACTTCACCATATATACATTTATCACATATTTGGATCTTGTTCTTTTTCCTTTTCTTTCTTTCCTTTTTTCATTGTTCATGATTTAAAGAGATATCAAAGCCCTATTGATCAGAAGTAATGGCCAGCAAAAACTACAAATAGGTCAACTAGTTGGAGAACCATTTTAATTCGTAAAGACCTAGCTTTTCAAAGATTAGCTTCTTTCCAATTTCTCCTTTATCAAGCAGTTAAGAAAACTTAAAATTTCAAAGAAGTACTTAGAGATAGTCCCAATAGATCTATACCCAAAAATTTCTAGCTCTAATCAGCGATCACATATCACAGTGCAGCATCTACAACAGTGCAGCATCTACTGGAGTTGCTTTTATGTAGATCTGATTTCATCTCAGAAACATGATAAGATCATGTAATCATAACAGAAAATTAAATTTCCCAGCACATTAAATTATATGTAGTAATTAATTAAGTGAACACAACAAAAGAGAATTAAAAAGTAGCTTTCCAGTTTATATCAGATGAATCAAAAACTTGCAGATTATTGCTTCTCAAAGAGTTCCTTTTTCACTCTTAATATCCAAAGAACCCAGTGATGCATTCGAGACAGCTGAAAAGAACATTGTAGACTTTAGAAAACTGTGAAAACCACCACATATCCAGATGGACTGAATATTGAGTGAATCATCAGCTTACCCCATAATATCTACTAATTCATCATCCTTTATGTGTAAACAGGTGTATTCCTAATCATTTTATTGGGCTCCTTCAATGAAATTATTCAGATATTTGAATAAAAAGGCATATTGACCCAGGTTCAATCAGTTACCAGCTCATCATCCTTGGCACGCACAGTATAGAACACAACTCATAGACGCAGCAACTGATTTACCATTGAATGAAGATTTAGTATTTTAAAATTATTTCAGGCTAAAGTCCATCATTGATTACAATTACATTAACCAACAACGTCCTAATAAACCTTTGCAGTAAAAAACATAAATGAATTGTCACGTGTTTCATATATTCCATGTATATAACTCAAAGACAAAGAACAAAGCTAGAAATATGAATGGTGATAACCTAGTGCCACAGAATAAATTCTATTTGCTAGTCAAGAGCTTAAATAGGGTAGCAATCTATTTTGTTACCTTGCCACATTTTGGCCTCTCTTGCATTCATGTCTTCAACCCATTCTCCCTTATATTAAAGTCTCTTTCTGTTTGTCATCAGGTACAACCAACATTTGACATTTCATGTCACTGAAGACCTTCTAAATTTCAAAACTAGCTCTTTTAATCATCAGATCCACTATGTACAAACAGACCACATGCTCTCTCTCTCTCTCTCTCTCTCTCTCTCTCTTGTGAAAAAGAGAAAAAAATAAGGAAGGAAAACCTTACTATGAAACGTCTGGAATTATCAGGAGGGCTTCATTTCGGGAACGCATTCCCATTAGAAACAAACTTAGAGCGCATTTTCTACCTGCATTTGAACAAAACTCAAATGCCCCTATGTCTAAGCATAGCTCTGTAGTTTTGATACATTGTCACGTATCTGAATAACATGAGATACGAAGATACGACTGCTTTGCATCCATTGTAAAAACTTTCTTTTTAATAACTCACCACTTCGAAAATTTAAAACGCATCTTTTGCAAACATCCAATTGATTAAAAACTAAACAGTTACACAACTTAAACGGCTGTAAGTTTACCATATCCAAACTTTTATAACATAGTTCTGAGCACGCTACTAACTCACGCTTCACAACATCTATACCTGGATACTAAATGAAGCAAATAAAAGGATCTCAAGTTTTAAGAATTGCTTCTTCATATTCTTTCTTCAAGAAAAACCAAACCAAAAAAATTTTAAAAAAAAATCATTAGAAACAATAAGCACGATAAATCGAATCTATACATAAAAAAGAAAAGGTTCCACTACTTGTGTCATCCTACCATTTTCTTCTCTCTAGCTAAAAAAGACAAAATCAATTCAAAGTTTACAAACAAATAACTAACTAAAACCAACAAAGAAGAGAGAAACTGAAAGGGGGGAGTGACATACACGCGCGTGACATGGTTATCTTGGTTGCAGGTGACATGAAACCAAGTACAGGGGTTTACAAGATTCGGATCCCAGCTCTGAAGAACGTTATCGGGGTCGAATAGACTCCGGCGAAGCGAATAGAGCGCGTCCCCTTCAGAATTTGCAGTCACGGCACTCGGATTCCACGATGCTATTACTGCAATAATACTAACTGCTAAAGACAAGATAAATTTGTTAATCTTCACCATACTTGTACTGATGAATATCGAGAGAAATTCTAGGGCTTCGATTCCTGATTTCTGGTTTTGATTTTGCAGAGGATGGGGAGAAAGAGAAAAAGGAGAGAGAGGAAATGGGCGTGTTGTGGTGGGCAGCGGACCTTGTGGTTTACTTAAACTTCCAAGTAGATGATCATTTTCTGGAGCTAGAAGAGTGAAAAGCAGGTGTCGGAGGAATCTTTTCAAGTTTTTACAACTTTTTTACTACTGCAACTCTCCTGACATGATTATTTAATTCTAGTAAAAATTCTCCTGCCTTGGATTTCTTTCTCTGGATTTAGGTAAAAGGTTAACTTGGTCAGTTAATAATTTAGTGGGCTATTTAAAGTTTCAACCAACTTACAAAAATTGACAATGCTTGACTAATGGATGTTTTATTTAATTCCAAGTGGATATCTTTCATGAACTCACTTTGGTATGTCGTTATTTACAAAAATTATTTTAATTATCCAACAAACATGTTTTGTAATTATATATTTTATTTTTTAATCACTTTTTTATTTTATATATATCACATTACAAAAAATACTATAATAATTATTCAAAAAAATTTACTAAATAATCTTCTATCCAAGGACACTATTTCCATTAAATGTTTTAGGATGATACGTCTATTTAAATCCAATAAGCCCATAAAGATAACTCTTAAAACATGGTAACATGTAGTATGAAGATGTATAAGAGAAGATCTAAAATTATTACTCTATATTTATATATGATTTTCTTTATTCTGTGACGTAAGTGTAAGGAATCATATAGGTAAGTATAGCAAAAGTTAAAATTTTGATCATTATTACATGTCATTTTTTATTAATTATCATGAAACTATAAGTTAGTTTATGAAAACTATCTCAAGATTGCAAAAAATCTTCTTAAACTCTACAGATGAGTTGCATGCAAAATCCTTAACAATGCACTTGAAATTGAGCACATGTACATCATCTGATGGTAATCTACATGAATTTTCTCAACTTGGACCTCTAAGGTAGAAATTGCTTACTTAAACAAGTGTTGACTTATGGTCAAAATTATAACATACAAGTTGTTCTTGTAGAGGATGAAGAAACCTTAAGGGGAAAATCAAACCAAAAGTAGGAGAGAGAAAGTCGAAGTTCCTTTCGCTTTTAGGCCAAACTTTCTTTCAATATTTTCACTAGATTTTTCACAAAAATCTCACACAGTTCAATATCAGTTCATTAGTTTTGTTAGCATAAATTATGAGAGTATATATAAACAAACAAGTTTACTGAATCCATATGAAAACTAAATCCTATTTCTGTTTAAAATTAGTTTCCTTAATCCAATATAACCCTTGTATTAGAAGATCTAATCTTATTTGCACTATAAGTTCCTCTAGTTTTATTTGTCTTATAAATTAAACTATAAGTTATAAAAGCTTATCTTTCAAACCCCCCACTATAGTTTCTTTTAATCTAACTAATGAAGTTCTTAATTAGTGTGTACCCATTATATTCTCATATATATTGGCAATAAGTATAAGTTCTAATTCTTAATAAATAAGAATTAGATGAATTAAAACTCCTTGTAATTTATCATCGATTCAACTAATCAATTAATTTATTCTTGAAGATCAAGATTAGCATTTAACAATGTATCATTACCACCCAATTAAAAGGGATAGTCAAATAGATGACTTCCTCTTCCAGTGACTTTCCTGCGTAATTAATATCTTTTATTATACTTATTTCATACAAAATTTGGAGTATGGAATATGTGCCTATTCCACTAACGTTGTTGGTATTTCCTTGTACTGAAATATAATTCCAATGAAAATGTATTTTGATACATCTTTATAAGACTTATTCGCTTAATACTAAGATTTCTTAAGTTATACTTCCACAAGTGGTCAATAATGAGGTAACTCTTCCAACATAAGAGGGGGTAAATTCTTATAGATTATTCACCATCTTTCCTTACTTTATACTATAATCACAATGATTTGAGTCACCTACTTATGAGAAGCAATCAAATAATGTCAAAATATAGTGATCCATATTCAAGATACTATGATAGCATTAAGTCTAAGGATCATTTACACTAATGTCACTTAGAGATTTATTCTTCTGGCACTCGAAGAATTTCTCTATGCAACTTATATTCTTCGAACTTTAAGATCCTTATCTATAACTACTCGACTCTTTTTTGCTTTTTATAGTAAATGAGATCTACTACTTCTATAAGAAGAAGTGTAGTATATGCTAGTTTAACTGTATTAACAATGTCTTATTCTGTCAATATTATGACTTGAGATATTTAAGAATAAACCTTAATAATAATTGATTGAACCTCATTAGCATAACCTTTATGATTTAATCGATTAGGTTTAGTTTGTGGACTTTATCATTCAAATGTAAAACATATATAATCGAAATGATAAAATTGTAAGAAATCATACAAGTTACATAGTGAGAAAATAAAAAATTTTGATTTCTTTTAGTAGATCATTCTTTGATTAATTGCATGTAACCTCAAGTTAGTAGAAGACTACTTCAAAATGTGAAGATCTTCTTAAACTATTGGAGATTTGTAGTACACGAAGTCGTAACAATCCATTTGAAGATGCTCATGTACTTAGCCTTTAAAGATGATCGATACGAACACATTTAGGTTGAATCTCCAATGTCGAAATCACTTACGTTAGAAAAGTGCCAACTTATAGCCAAAACCTCAACTCACAAGTTATCATAGAGAGGAAAAAGAAACCCTAGTTCTAAACTAGGCTTAATCAATCAAGAAGAGCGAGAAATAAGTAGAGGATCCTCTCTCATTTTCTTGCCCACAGTTTCCAGCAATTTACTCTCTTAATTTTTTTTCCAAAATTTTCATACTCAATTTGGTGTTTTGATTATTCCTGCTAGCATAAATTGTGAGGATATACATAGATAAATAGGTAATTGAATCAATATAGAAATTGGAAACCTGTTTCTATATAGATTCAACTTATTCTAATACAACCCTTGTATTAGAAGACCTAACCTTATTTGCATCATAAGTTATTCAAGTTTAATTTTTCTCACAATTTAAACTATAAGTTATGAAAACTTATCTTTCAAGTCACCACTTGAATTTCTTTTAATCTAACTAAAGAAGTTCTTAATCTGGATGAGCCATCGGGTTCTTAAATATATTGACAATAAGTATAAGTTATAATTCTTAATAAATAAGAACTAGATACATTTGAACATCTTTTAATTTATCATTGATTCTACCTTATCAATTAACTTATTCTTATAGATCAAAGAAAAAGATCTAGTAATGCTTCATTGATAAGTGTCATATTTTGCATTATTTGCATATATCTTTTAGTTCATGTTTTATACATTTATGTGTAAAAGTGGTTTATTTTAAGGTTTTATTAGACTTTTTATGTTTTAAGCATTGTTTGATAAAAAATTACAAAACTAATAAACTTAAGTATGTTTTATGCTTGTTTTTTATAGGATTGGAAAGATGATGAAAACATGTTTAAAGAAGTGTTCAAGAAAGGATTTTAAATACCAAAAGATATTTAGGAAACTTGGACTAAGAAGAAAGTCAAATTGAAATTGCCATGAAGAAGCTGAGGAAGTTAGTTTCCAAAAGAGATTCTGATTCAGTTTTGATACATTTTGATATTTTGGTCATAACTTGAACTATAGAGTTTAGATTGAGGTGATTCTTAATGCATTTTGAAATTAAGATCAAGAGCTACAACTCTTATGAGAAACTAAATTATAGTTCTACCATTTCCTATCCAAATAGTTGAATTATGGAAAATTTTCATGGTTTTATGTTTTTGGAAACTTCTAGAATTATCTTCTAATTAGTTGGTAGTATTTTAGGTATAACTGTGTACCAAGATGTCCAAATGAGCTTATTCTTAAACCATTGGAAAGTTTATTCAAATTTCTAAATTTTTTGCCTTTTGTCCTAGAGTTGATTCGACTTTCTCGATTGAGTTATTTAGATGTCAAATTCGGGGTAGAACAATCGAATTCCTTTGCTAGCAAGGCTTACTCTCCCTAATTGATTTCTACAATTTTCATGTACAAAAAGGGAGTATGATGGACGAATTTGGAGAGGTTAGAGGCATATTTTGGAGTCTATTAATATTGTAGAACTCTAAGTAAAAACTAGTTTTAGGATAGGTTAGAGTAGTTTTTCTTCTTTTTTCTTCTAGTTAGGGTTTTTGTTCTTAATTGTTTAACTTTTCACTTGGGCCAAGATTTAGTTAAAGCCAATGAATTGTTTAATAAATAAATGGGCTATAATTTGGAGTACCCATTTAATTAATTAACTAGAAAAAATATTTTAATTATATTTTGACCAATTAAATTTCTTAATTTTAATGTCAACAAATGCCCCACTTAAAGGTTTGGTAAAGAGATAGCTTGCTAAGCATCAGAAATGAGTCTTGAAGTGCTTCAATTTTGTCAATCAAGGACCTGAAACTTTTGTTAAAATCATGTATTGGCCAATCAACATAGCCCGATTTGAAACTAGCAAGGAGAAACCCATCAACTAAACCCAATAAGTTGTGGTCCATTGTAGTATACATGCGCAGGATAGTTATTTCCACACATTTTTGCAATGCACATAAACCTGCCAATTTGAATAACAGAGGAAATGACCAATGTGCATGGTTTGAAATAAACCTGATAATTTCCTTCCAAGTGCATGGCTTGAAAACTTCCATTTAGTGACTAGTCTAATTTCTAATCAAAGAATCACCGACTAGAACCAAGAGTTCAAGAACCATTTTGGATCATTGCTTTTAACTTCAAAGCTATAACTCTATATGCAAATAGCAAGTTGTAGAAGTTTACTTTTCTTTATGATCGAACTTCAAATCTTGACTTATTGTTTGGCTAATTCATGAGAGAAAAGGAATCAAGTTTGGTCCAAACTCTTTTACAAATAAGACTCAAAAAACATGGGGTTTGTTTAGATAGTAGGTTATTTACCAAATTTTATTTGCTTGTATCATCAATACATTTTTCAACCACCTTTTTATTTCACATACATTATATCAAAAAAGTGCTACAATGTTTTTTCTCTAAATTATCCTAAATAATCTACTATCTAAACAGACTCCACGCTTTCCTTTTTTTTCCTTCTTCTACAATAGAACACTTCCATACATTAATAGTGTGAGACCCC